GGGCCCACTGCTGCCAGACCCCCTGCGGCATGGCACAGCGTGGCCCTGATTGCCTCAGAGCCGGCACTGCCTGCGCTGCCTGCTGCAGGTATGGCCTGGGTTGACATGGGGCTGTGCACCTTTCTGCAGTCCCAAGCCGCTCGGGCCAAACCACATGTCATGCCGCACCAGGTCCTGCCTCCACAGAACTGGCTTGGCCCAATGGCATGTGGGGCCCATGGAGGCAGGACCCAGCCCAGCATGACACACAGTCCCCACAAGCGGCACTGGCCCCCAGGTGACAGCCCAAGCAACCGGGGGCTGCAGAAATGTGCAATGCCCCACACCACACTGCGCCATGTCAGGCTGTACCCACAACAGGTGACACAGGATCTGAGGCAGGGGAGCTCCGACAGCACTGGGTCCTGAGCGCCCATGGCCGCTACTGCTGTGGGGGTGAGCTGTGGGCCCTACGGTGGAGAGGGGTATTGGGGCCCTGTGGGCCTGCAGGGGGTCAGTCCATGTGCTGTGCCATGTGGGGGTCAGGGGACCCACCCCTCCTTAGCATCCCTCCCCACACAGTCCCACCACAATCCCCTCCCATCTACCCACACCCCCCAGCCCTTCCACATCCCTCACACCCACCCACATCCCCCCATACTCACTTGCATCCCCTACACCCCTTTCTGCCCCACTCCTCCCCATCACACATCCAGCATGCCCAGCTGCCAGATAGGATGAGACCTGCTGGCAGGAGCTGTGGCTGCAGGGGCAGCTGTCCCCACATCCCAGTTAGTGAAGGGGTTAGGGGGAGCTCTAATTGTTCTGTGATAAGAAAAACAAAGGCAAACATCAAAACATAGATATTTAGAATTTGTTTTATTATGATGATAGAGATACTGGTAGGCTTCCAATTTGCTTTACAATTGTAAATATTTCAATAAAACCTTGCTCAACTGATATATATATAGATAGATAGATAGACAGAGAGAGTTGTCTTTTGTTTTAATTGTGGAAGAACACGGATTTTGGGGTGTTTTAAAGAGTGAATTTGGGCTTTTTTTTT